CTACGCGGCACGCAACTGATGCTTCCTCACCCTACACACAACATACTTTAATAAATCAGGTCACATATCGATGTGAGTTTTTACTAGGCTGCATTAGGAAGGAACCCCAATAAAATTACCAGTAGCTAGGGCGACCGAGTAGCTACGGCAGATGGTGGACAATGAAATTGCGAGTTTTCGCTCCTCTTGGTAGTTTGAAGGCATGTCACGTGTGCGTGGTAGCCGGGGCAGGACGCGCAAGGCCAGTCCACCTTACAGTCCACCCGTTTTCGAGGACGTCCGCTGTGTGGTCCACAATAGGACGGGGCGGACTTGGTGACTGGTGCGTGAGTTACTTCTAAGTGATAGTAGACTTGTTTAGCATTTAACACACTCTATCTTCACTCACCCACCTGTACCAGAGGCAAGAAGACCGGAGGTAGGATCGGGTGCAGGAGGCTGGCGCGGCCAAAGCCGCCCCAATGCGTATCCCCATGCCTCCTCCCCACGTTCGACATGTGTTATCGACGCGTAACCCAAATAACGCCTGTACCCGTGTGCTCCAGCGCATCTACAACGCAAGCTCGTTTGGGGAGCCATTCACCCTACGCTGTCCGTGGCTAAGCGCCTACCAGCGATAAGTTACAGTTAGGCTGACCAGAGACGTGAATGCGTACACTGACTCCTTCTGCAAAGGAGCTCCAAATAACACCTGCCACATACCCGGTGGATCTCTTTATGTTTCTCACCAACAGATACAGTTCCTTGGGCAAAGGGCATTTTCTACGCATATGTACTGGCGCAACAGGTGTCCCATGGCTATAGGAGAACAGGAGTGAAGACTTTGGAAGCCTGTAATCCTATTTTTCCACATACGAGTGACTGCTTTTTACGATGTATGTAGCTCACTGTCATCCCCGGCACCGCCTACTCTAATGAGGATACTTTAAGCTTCACAGCACTTAAACGAACTTTTCGAATATTCTCAATAATAGAGTAAAATTCGAGTCGCAGGAAGTAATTGTAAGGATTAGATGCAATCCTGTCACAGCGAGGTTACACGATAGACAATATAGGCAGCACATGTACCAATCAAAAGCCCACAAACTTTTTTCGCCGATATTTGGCCATTGCATGGCTGAACGGCTCATCAATGAGACCTCCAGTTTTGGAATGTCTACCTTCTAAATTTCCTCAAAACTCTTTCGATAAATTGAGGTGAATGAAGTTCAACTATAGTCTGCACATATAGACCGTAGATTGAACTTGTTTGCTTAATTTTGGCGAGTGACGTCGGAGGATACTTGAAAAACAACAATAAATGTCTATACTTAGATGTAGGAACTTCTTCGTAAAGACCATAAAAAGTCCAATTTAACTTATCAACTTGACTGTTGGTAATATCCAGTGCAGATCTGATGGGCTATTCAATCAAATTTCGCCCAAGTATCGGCATCCTCTTCGCTTGAAATTGTTGTTCCCGTTCAGAATTCATAATGTAGGTACTCTGTGCCCCAGAATGAAGGCGAAACATCTGACTAGTAAAGGTATAAGTGTGGTGGTATGTGGTCCTCGTCTTTTAAATGTATTTGAAATAGGGCTTACGCGTCTCCTGCTGGAAGGAGGAGGCAAAATATCTTGCCTAGACTGAAACAAGTGACTACCATTCTCACGAATAGAAGCGAATATGCGTGTCCCAGGTTCTTGTTGTAAAGAAGAGGAAGACGCGATCTCTGACGTTTGCTGTTCTCATTTACTCTGACGATGGCTCCTCTTGTGGAGCCGAAAGCTCAGAATAAAACTATCGTTCCACAGATTACGTCTTCCTCTTCTTCTTG